CATGAAGTGTTTTTTATTCAGGCAACCTGGTCTACCCAAATACGGGATGGAGCGTACTCCTTCCGCTTTCGCCTTTCGGCCCCAATCCAGGAGCCTTCGCAGGCAGTTGCTTTCGCAACAAACTATTTTTGTGTTAAATTTATATTTACCGACAATAAATACATAACCATGGTTGCCAAGGTTGTTAACTGAATCACTGCCGTTATTAAGTGAATCCTATGGTTGTTAAGCGAATCAGGCTTCCCAGGTTGTCTTTGCCTATCAGAAGCCGGCTGGGAAGGTCACAAATGGAGAGATCATGTGACCCTGGGATGCTGAAACCATCTTAAATACATTTTGGTTGCCAAGAGCCCTTATTTTGACCAAATGACCATGGGGGATGCTGCAACTGTCCTAGGTGTGAGGACCAGTTGTAACTCACTTGTTCACTGCCATTGTAACTCTGAACAGTCGCTAAACAAATGATTGTAATTCAAGGACTACCTCTGTATTTCAATCCATGCAAAGCAAATAAGGGACATTATTTGTCCAAACCATAAGCAGGAATCAGAACCACTATGTTTCAACTTAATTTGGTTTGAGTTTCATTTGAGGATCTTATCTTATGTGTGCATCTCACAAGGAAAAGTGCAAAGTGTGGACAGCAGGCATGGCCAATCTGGTGCCCTTCTGGGTCCCAGAAGTGCCAGAGAGTATTATTTATTTATTTACAATTAATCCTTGACTAGAGGGACGTCGTGGCTCAGCGGCTAAGATGTTGAGCTTGTCAATCAAAAGGTGGGCAGTTCAGCGGTTCGAATCCCTAGCGTCCCGTAACGGGATAAGGTCCCGTTACTTGTCCCAGTTTCTGCCAGCCTAGCAGTTCGAAAGCACATAAAAAATGCAAGTAGAAAAATAGGGACCATCTTTGGTGGGAAGGTAACAGCGTTCCATGCACCTTTGGTGTTGAGTCATGCCGGCCACATGACCACGGAGGCATCTTTGGACAACGCTGGCTCTTCGGCTTTGAAATGGAGATGAGCACTGCCCCCTAGAGTCAGGAACAACTAGCACACATGTGCGAAGGGAACTTTTACCTTTACCTTAATCCTTGAGTGACAACAGTTCATTTAGTGGTTGTTCAAAGTTACAACGGCGCTGAAAAAAGTGACTTACGATTGTTTTTCACACTTGTGACTGTTGCAGCATCCCCGTGGTCACGTGATCTAAATTTGGACACTTGGCAACTGACTCATATTTATGACGGTTGCGGTGTCCTGAGATCATGTGATCAGCTTTTACGACCTTCTGACAAACAAAGTCAGTTGGGAAGCCAGATTCATCTAACAACCTTGTTACTAACTTAATGAAAGCAATGATTCACTTAACAACTGTGGCAAGAAAGGTCATAAAATGAGGCAAAACTCAGTTAACAAATGTTTCATTTAGCAACAGAAATTTGTGACTCAATTGTTTGTTGTAACTCGAGGACTTACTCTATATGTCTGTCTGTCTGTCTGTCTGCCTGCCTGCCTACCTATATCTATGTCTATGTCTGTGTCTGTGTCTGTGTCTGTGTCTGTGTCTATGTCTATGTCTATGTCTATGTCTATGTCTATGTCTATGTCTATGTCTATGTCTATGTCTATCTGTCTGTCTGTCTGTCTGTCAGTCTGTCTGTCTGTCTGTCTATCTATCTATCTATCTATCTATCTATCATCTATCATAATCTATCATCTATCTATCTATCTATCTATCTATCTATCTATCTATCATCTCTTTCTCTCTATCATATCTGTCTGTCTGTCTGTCTGCCTGCCTGCCTGCCTGCCTATCTATCCGTCCATCATCTATCTATCTATCTATCTATCTATCTATCTATCTATCTATCTATCTATCATCTATCATAATCTATCATCTATCTATCTATCTATCATCTATCTATCTATCTATCTATCTATCTATCTATCTATTTATCATCTCTCTCTTTCTCTCTATCATATCTGTTTGTCTGTCTGTCTGCCTGCCTGCCTGCCTGCCTGCCTGCTTATCTATCTATCTATCTATCTATCTATCTATCTATCTATCTATCTATCTATCATATCAATCAAATTTATTGGCTGCCCATCTTACCGCAAGGTAACGCTAGGGGGCTTACAATATTAAAAAAAATAAACTTTATAAATAGGATACTGCAAAATGGTAAAATATAAAATACAAAATACGATAGTTAAAAGATGGGGGGGGATAGGATGAGCAGGGTTGGGCAGTGGAATCTGATATTAATCTATTAGCCATCTCCAACATTTATTGGTTCGATTTTATTGGTTCGATTTTATATGCCACCCTTTTCCGGAGACTCAGGGCGGCTTACAATGTGTTAAGCAATAGCCTTCATACTTTTGTATATACCTGCTTAGTAGGGCTTTTGCCCCCCCCCTAAAGCGGTGTTCTTTTTTTTTTTATACAAAGTCAGCTTATTGCCCCCACAATCTGGGTCCTCATTTTACCTACCTCGAAAGGATGGAAGGCTGAATCAACCTTGAGCCTGGTGAGATTTGAACTTGCAGTAATTGCAGGCAGCTGGTGTTACTTAACAATGCTTTAGTCTGCTGCGCCACCAAGGCACATGAACCGTCTCCTTTGGAGCCCCAAGCCAACTGGCAGAGCCAAGTCTGTAGGATCGTTCCGAAGGGAAAGAGGGTTGTTGAGGAAGACTAATATACAGAAATAAAGAGAGAGAATTGGAATAAAAGAATAGCATCTTGCACCTTATGTCATGACACGCAAATTCGTGAAGTGTTCCATATTTTACAAAGAGCCTGATAGCGCAGCAGACTAATAGCCTGTTATTATCATTCAGCTGCCTGCAATTATTGCAAGTTCGAATCTCCCCAGGTTGACTCTCTCAAGGTTGACTCAGCCTTCCATCCTTTCTAAGGTAGGTGAAATGAGGACCCAGTTTGTGGGGGCAATAAACTGACTTTGTATAAATATACAAAAGTATGAAGGCTATTGCTTAACACATTGTAAGCCGTCCTGAGTCTCTGGAGAAGGACGGCATATAAATCAAAATTAAAAAAAAAACTATTGTATAAAAAAATGGGGAGGGGCAGGGGATGTGGCCGTTCTTTTCCTTTTGATGTGCCTCCAATCAATAATCACATAACGAGTCTCTCATAAAACAAAGTTGGAACAAGAAGAGCCTGCTTTGCGAACGACCCCTTCAGCTGAGTCAATACATGTTATCTTTATCACGCTGGGACAGGAAAAGCTTTATTTGCTGACAAATCTCTGGGTGTTGTGAGAAATAATGGTTGTGAATTATCTCGAACCGATAGCTGCGCAGCAGGGTGATGGGCCTTGTGACAAAATGGCTTTAGAAGCACCATCTGGCAGCAAACACCCAAGGAGAGGAGCCTGAGGGGATACCCCATGTACAATTTCTACAGAGTTTAAGTCACTATGAAGTCAAGGAGATGGAGTAAACTGGCTTCAATGTCAAGGATGGTGCTGATTTGCATAGAAAAGAAATTTGCTTGCTGAAGATTTTTATAGTGGACCAAAACACTTGTATCGGTCCACATCAGTGGGTCGGTTGCTACCGGTTCTCCCCGGTTCGGGAGAGCCAGTAATGGAAATCTTGATAGGAGAGTGAACCGGTTTGCTCCGACCGTCATTTGGGCCCTCCCCCCCGCCTCCGCGCTATACCTACCTTTATTTCTTTTGTTTTTAGCTCAGCCGTAAGGCGCGGTAGAGTGGATTGCCATGCCTCAGCTGTTTTTTTACTCAATGCATTTGCGTGAAACGCAAATTGGGCGCGCGTGCAAAGCGGTGATCGTGCGCAAAGCGCGTGTGCGATGCGAACCAGCGGTAAAACTGGTTAGAACCCACCACTGGTCCACATGTTCTTTTAGGGGTTGGGAGGAAGGTATAATTTCCCTGCATAACATTGCTTTGGATTGTATTGGATGTGAGATGGGTAGCATATAAATTTATTAAACAAATAAATAAAACATAAAGAAGTTAGAATTGTTTGCAGGGCTTGGCTCCACGAAAGTCCTGGTTTTCATGTGGCCTCTTGAGAAAATTATTTGTCTACCCTTGGTCTACTACACTGATTTAAAATTGCAGAGTAAAGGAGGGGTGCGAATTGGAGAACAGGTATAAATTGTTCTTTCCTGGTTTTCCTGAAAGTTTTCTTCTCTTCCATAAGGCTACATTTTCTATTTAATTCTCAAGTTGAATGACTTTTGATTGTGTTTTTGAGATTTTTTTTTTGTTATTGCTAAGTTGGAAGGGGTGAGTATCAGGGATGTTATTATTTTTTATTCTGGCACACATATTTGAATCATTCTGAATCACATCTCAATCCGTGGACATATCTGAATCACTGTGTGGTCATCTTAGCTGCTCAAAATTGGATTATAAGAAAACCTAGGAAGATTTCCTTAGGCTGAATTGAACTAAGAATAACAGAATTGGAAGGCACCTTGGAGGTCTTCTAGTCCAACCCTCTGCTAAGGCAGGAGACCCTATTTATTTCAGGAAAATGGTAGTCCAATCTCTTCTTAAAAACCTCCAGTGTTGGAGTACCTATAACTTCTGGAGGCAAGCTGTTGCACTGGTTAATTGTTCTCACTGTTAGGAAATTTCTCCTTAATTCTGGGTTGCTTCTCTTCTTGATTAGTTTCCATCCATTGTTTCTTGTCTTGCCTTCCTATGCTTTGGAAAATAGGTTGACGTGCCAAGAAGAGCCAAGATTGAAGAAATAGCTGTAATGAAAAATAGGGCATTCACACATCCCCTTGTCCATGTTGCCATCAAAGTAAGTCCAGAAGTACATGATAATGTTTCTGCCTTCTTTCTTTCAATCAGAAACTCAAATGCAATCTATTTTCCATTAACTTTGAAGAGCAATGGTTAAAAAGGGAGCCAAATTAACTTTTTTTGGCACTATTGTCAGATCTAATGAGTTCTACTTACCTACATTTCCCCCCCCCTTTTTTTTTCTTTTTCAGGGTTTTGTTTTGTTTTATTTTATTTTATTTTTTTCATAATTAGGAGTAACGGCCAGAACAAAGAAAAATCAGGATGACAAGATGGCTGACTTCTTGTTACCACTGGGTACTAACAACTTTCACCGGTTCACGCCCGAATCGTTATCAGAGATTGAAAAGCGGATCGCGGCAAAGATCCCAAAGGATACCAAGCAGGAATCTAGAGAGCAGTCGGGAGAGGAAGAAAAATTGCGGCCACAGTTTGACTTGCAGGCATGCAAGAAGTTGCCAGACATCTATGGATCTCCCCCATCCGAGCTCATCGGAGAACCACTGGAGGACATTGACTCCTTCTACCGAGATCATAAGGTCAAATCTGTCACCTCCGCATTAATGATTAAGAATAATGGAAGGGAATGAGGTAGAAGGATATTTTTCACAGGAAATAATTCCTTCCTGGATTAAGGGTGTGAAAAGTGGTGGGGTTAAATTCCTGACATCTAAGATGGGTGGGGTCCAAACAGGAGAATCACACTATTATCATTAATGATCATAACGTTGTCTATGTACAGGTAGCCCTTGACTTACAAACACAATTGGGTCCAAAAGGTTTGTTGCTGAGATGGTTGTTGTGAGCTTTGCCTCATTTTACGACCTTTCTTGCCACAGTGGTTAAGTAAATCACTGCGGCTGTTAAGTTTGTAACGCTGTTCTTAAGTGAATCTGGCTTCCCCATTGACATTGCTTGTCAGAAGGTCACAAAAGGAGATCACATATTCCCGGGACATAACTATGTCATAAGTATGACTCAGTTGCCAAATGTTTGTATTTTGATCATGTGACCATGGGGATACTGCAATGGTCGTAAGCTGAAAAACGGCCGTAAGTCACTTTTTTCAGTGCTGTTTTAACTGCAAAAAGTCACTAAACAAATGTTGTAAATCAAGGGTTACCTGTATATGTTTATACTATTTCAAATAGAATTGGAGTTGGGAGTGGATATTGAATACAAAAGGTGAAATATAATCTTAAAATGTCTGATTTATTATGCATCCTTATTTTGGAGAGCAATTCTTTAAATCCTTTCCTGTACTTCAAGGCAATTTTTATATTAGATGCTCATATTTGCAAGAAACATTTAACCAATGTTTGTGACACTAAACTAATAATCTGGCAAATGGAAATTCAGTAGATCTGGTGAATGGAGGAATTAGAAAGTACAAGAATAACTGGTGGAATTTAACTTGCCTCCACTGGTTTTGATAATGAAGCCATGGTGGCATCATTATTTTTTTGGTCTCAAGAAGACATGAATAGAATAGAATAGAATAGAATAGAATAGAATAGAATAGAATAGAATAGAATGAGCCATGGTGGCACAGTGGTTAGAGTCCAGTACTGCAGGCTACTTCTGCTGACTGCTGATTGCCAGCAGTTCGGCAGTTCAAGTCTCACTGCCTCAAGGTTGACTCAGCCTTCCATCCTTCCGAGGTGGGTAAAATGAGGACCCAGATTGTTGGGGGCAATATGCTGATTTTGTAAACCTCTTAGAGAGGGTTGTAAAAGCATTGTAAAGTGGTATATAAGTCTTAACTGCTATTGCTATTGCGAATAGGATAGGATAGGATAGGATAGGATAGGATAGGATAGGATAGGATAGGATATGCAATAGAATAGAACATGGAATACAACAGAGCAGAACAGCTTTATTGGCCAAGTGTGATTGGAGACACAAGGAATTTGTCTCCCAGTGTACATACAAATAACAAAGTAATATAATCATAATATACCAATAGTAGAAGGTAAAAGGAAAGATGAGAAGGATAATGGTAATACAACCCTACTACATATAAAGAAGAAAGAGTGCAGGTGGGGAAGAGGTTAATTCCTCTCGTTTAGTACTGTAAAATGTTTTGCATTACCCCACTTGATATGGACTTCTGATCTTTTTGCTTATGCTTGATTTGGTCTTTAGCTTTTTGCGTCCCAAGGGTTCTTTCTGTGTGATACTTTAGTTCCACTGAAAGATATAGTCTCTTTTTCCTTCCAAGATGCTGGATTGCAAACGATCTAGGTTTTTTTGACCCAGTGAACCTTTGCATTAGCTTAGTCAATCAATACCAGATGCTTCAATGTCCTCAGGATTGCCCCCTCATTAATTTTTCACCTTTATTCTATGGCTGAACCTCAGTCTTGCATAGTTTCCCTGGACTTTCCAGTCCCAATGTAATTAGAAATGCTTTATTGGAATAGCCTGATCTTTGCATTTTATTTAATAAATTTTGCACCTGGTTAACCTCAAAAAGAAAATAGGGTCTGGTCAATACTCTTGGTAAAAACAAAGCTACAGGCTAGACCAAGAAGTTTAAAATATATTTAAAAAAAGCAGCAGTAGGTCACTTCCATATTGTTGTCATGAAGAGTACCTCTATGTGTTCATTAAAAGCTCCAGAAATTAAACTCAGCTTGCTAAAGGAATCTTACCTTCTGTAAGAAAAAGGTTGCTGGTCACTATAGGGAATTGTCGTTAAATGTTTTTAACTAATCCAATTCAGGTGTCAAAGCATATGAAGGGCAGACAGGTCAGGAAAAATGGATCTCCAGTACAAACCAAGAAATGTTGCAATTTGATAGGAAAGAAATGAAAAAAGGATAGCATTTGAAAGAGGCTTAAAACCTCTTTAGTAGTTTCCCCTCCCTTTTTTCCCCTCCCCTTAGCAGATTTTCCTTCTGTGACTGGGGCAGTTAAATAGTTAAAGAAGATCTGCTCAGTAATATAAACTATGATGTCATAACAGGTTCCCCACAACTGAGCAATCTTGAATTTTGTAGACTTCAATTCCCAGAAGTCTCAGCAAGGGCTGTGCTAAGAAGGGAATTCTGGGTGTTGAAGTCCCCCCATCTTGAAAATACTCAGAGTGGGGGATATCTGGTTGGATTTGAACCAGAGAACCAGGTTCAACTTCCTTTCAGCAATGATGGATTGTGATCAGTTGCTTGTCTGATTCATTCAGTGTAGAGTACAGTCATACTTCAATGCTTGATTGCTTCAAAACTCATTGAATTCGGTATTCAACGTGTTTTGGAGCAGAAATTTTGTCCCAGAGCTTGTCTTTTCTCTGGTAGTCAACAAACTAGGAAAAACTTGCCTAGTAACTCGCTAGTTTTACTGGCTGAAATAGTGGGTACTTGTTGGTTTTTATATTTTTTGTGTCTTCCAGAATGAATTACCAATGGGTACCAAAGTACCACTATAGTAATTTATCATGTGGTTTAGTGTATCGTTTCAACTAAACCATAATAAAATATGCCATCTAGAGTCTTTTGATGGTAAGATAGGTGGCATATAAATTTAATTAAAAAAAATTAAAAAATCTGTCCCTCTATGATATGTGATCTAAATTGCTACAGGTAGTCCTCATTTTATGATAATTTGTTTAGTGACTGTTTGAAGTCATGATGGCACTGAAAAAACTGACTTATGACCAGTCCTCACACTTATAACTATTGCAGCGCCCTGTAGTTACATGATTTGGCTGCTTGTCAATCAGTGTGCATTTATGACAATCACAATGATCAACAACTATCTTCTGTTTGTGTCCTTTCCAGCTGGCTTCTGAGAGTCAATGGGGGAATGGCATAAGCAAAAGCACTTAGACTTATATACACTTCACATTACTTTACAGCCTTTTCTAAGTGATTTACAGTGTCAATATATTGCCCCCAACAACCTGGGCCCTCATTTTACCCACCTTGGAAGGATGGAAGGCTGACTTCAGATTGTCAGGATCAAACTTCTGGCAGCTGACAAAATTAGTCTGCAATACTGCATTCTAACCACTGCCATCACGGCTCTTTGTCATGGTGTCACAGTTGTCAGGAAGGTTGCAAATAACTCTCCTGTGATGTCTGGCTTAATGATGCACCACTTAATGATGAATTTTCCAGTCCTTATTGTGTTCATAAAACGAGGACTACCTGTATGTCTTGGTCCAGCCTATCTCAAAAGATAGTTGTTATGAAACTAAAATTTAAGGTAGGACTATTATCTGTGCTGCATTATAAAAAGGAGGGGGAGACGGGACATAAAGAAGGAAATATAGACAACATAAATAACAAATTGGAAAGGTCTAAATTCTCCTTCAAATCATCTTCTGCAACCGTCCCTTCTTAGATAGGTGTCAGAAAGCTAGGTCTTCACAAAACTCCTTTAGATCTTAAGGCTATGCAGAGACTTGAGTAGTGTTTTTAATTATATGAGATGGTTCTTTGTAAATGAGTACTGCACACAATTCAATAAAAGAGAATACAAGTAGCCCTCATTTTACGACCACAATTAAGCCCCAAATCTATGTTGCTAAGTGAGAAATTTGTTAAGTGAATTTTGCCCCATTTTAATGACCTTTCTTACCACAGTTGTTAAGTGAATCCCTGCCATTGTTAAGTTAGTCACATGGGTTGTTAAATGAATCTGGCTTCCCCATTGACTTTGCTTGTCAGAAATTTGCATCACGTGATACTGGCACCCTGCAACTGTCATAAATATAAGCCAATTGCCAAGCGTCTGAATTTTGAACACAATACTATGGGCATGTTGCAATGGTCATAAGTGTGGAAAACAGTCATAAATCATTTTTTTCAGTGCCATTGTAACTTCGAACAATCACTAAACAAACTTGAGGACTACCTGTATATGTAGCTCAGCGTTAAAGGCTCTGAACTTGCTTGCAGCATTTCATTACACCCCACTAGCTAACATCAGTGTTAGTGAGTGTGTAGTTTGGTCCCTGTTTATTTAGGTAGCTTTAGGTATATTACATAGAAAAGCTTGTTTATATAGGGTAGCTACCAAGCAGGGGTGTAGTTTTCTTCTTGATTAGGGTATTGTTCTCTGCCTGTTTGTCTGGTGTAAATCTCTGTTTATCTGGGTGCTGGTGCTGGAGAGAATGTGTTCTGGGTTTTCCCCCCCCCTTCTTGGTTTTTTGTTGTCTCCTTCGATTGGTGTGTAAATATGGTTTATTTCTATATGGCTGTTGTTGGCTGATTTGTCTGAATGGCAAGCTTCCAGGAATTTCCTAACATTTTGGGATTTGGCTTGGTCTAGTATGCTGGCAATTTTCCAGTTAGTGAGTATATGTTTAGGCTGCCTACACATGAAATAATTGTGATCTTCCTTTTCTGCAAGGCACTTTGCTATACACAATGAGTAATATATGTTATGTGATAGCAGTAGCAAGAATAGCTGAACAAAGCTAGAGAGATTCCTAGAAGTTGATCAATTCTCATTTCTGGCTAGCAATAAATCTATAAAAGCAGTTTCCATACAAGAAACGTTTTTGGTGGGATAATGAATGCTGTAAGCTTTATTGAATTATAGAGCAAAATGCAGAAAAATTTCTTTTTGGAAGACCACTTTACTTAGGTAGATTTGATTACATTTCAGTAGATCATGTGTTTTCCCCAGCCATATAAATTTAGTGATGTCTATGCTTGTTGGGTCTTTGCTATCTACTCACCTTTTAAAGGCACAGCTGGATCTCGCCTCCCTCCCAAAAAAAGTTTGCTACTTTTATGTTAAAACATTGAAAAAACAAAGCTTAAACTGGAGTTTCAAAGGGATATGATCTGAAAGGTCTATTGATTTTTTAAAAGATACATAAAAGTTATGGTCCAGGAAATCTTTCTTCTTGCTTTGGAAGTGATAATGAACATCTAGGTTGCTATGATGAAAAGTAATTGAAAAAGGGAGCTGAGCCTTACCCTATCTGCTATTCTCTCTCTCTCTCTTTCTTTCTCTCTTTCTCTCTCTTTCTCTCTCTGTTTCTTTCTTTCTCTCCCCCTCTCCCTCTCTTTATCTCTCTTGCTCACTTTCTCTCTCCCTCTCTCTCTCCCCCACTCTTTATCTCTGATGCTTGCTTTCTCTCTCTTTATTGTCTCTGTCTCTCTCTCTCTCTCCCTCTCTCCCTTTTCTCTGTCTCTCCCTCTCCCCCTCTCTATCTCTCTTGCTCACTTTCTATTATCTTTCTGTCTCTTTCTTTCTCTCTCTGTCTCTCTATTTGTCTCTTTCTATCTCCCTTTCTCTCTCCCCGGCTCTCCCTTTCCTTCTCTTTATCTCTCTTGCTCACTTTCTCTATTATCTGTCTCTCTTTCTCTGTCTCTTTCTTTCTCTATCTGTTTCTTTATCTCTTTCTATCTCTCTTCCCTCTCTCCCCCTCTGTCTATCTTCCTTGCTCACTTTCTCCCTCTTTATTATCTCTGTCTCTCTTTATTTCTCTTTATTTCTCTCTTTCTGTCTCTCTCTTTGCCTCTTTCTTTCTCCCCCCCTCTCCCCCTTCTTTATCTCTCTCTCTCTCTCTCTTTCTCTCCTTGTCTATTTCTATTTATCTTTCTCTCTCTCCCTCTGTCTCTCTCTCCCCTCCTCTCCCTCTCTCTTTATCTCTCTTTCTCTCTTTCTCTTTCTCTATTTCTAAAATAAATTTATATATTTTATTTTTATACATGTAACAATCCTCTATGTAGGACAGTCAGAATAATGGCAGCTATGCCTCTGCTCATGCATTTTGCTAATAAAACATTCAATTGTACTTTTGTTATAAATGTTCATCCTGATATCTGGACATCACTCCTCTTTCAGAAAGAACAATATGAACTGTAATATTGACTGGAAAATAATGCTTGTTTTTACAAGTAGCACAATGTGCAGTAAGTTAAACTCATATCTAACTAAATATGTTAACTCCCTGCACTCTGAGTAAAAGTTGTGGCTACTTTAAGAGGTGCAACAACTTTAATGAGTGACTTTTTTAAAGTAGCAACCCCTTTTTTTAATGCTAATCCAACTAGAAGCCTCAAAACAGTCTGACTCCTTTAATGAACAGCATAGAGGTTTGGGGGAGATTTCAAGCACTGAATAATTTTTGAATCATGCACAGCCTTAGAAATAACTGTTGCTTACATAATGTGAGATTTTAATCCAGACCTTAATATTTGTTTATCTTCTCCTTTGTTTTCCAGACATTTATAGTACTGAACAAAGGGAAGACGATCTTTCGATTTAGTGCCACTCCTGCCTTGTACATTCTTACTCCTTTTCATCTAATCAGAAGAATAGCAATTAAAATTCTGGTACATTCATATCCTTTTACCTGTTTTTTTTCCTGACCAATATAGTCACTGAACAGTAACATGAACTTCATTGAGTTGGGTTGCTCTTTTTCATTTAGAGCTGGGCCTGAGGGTGTCTTCCAAATATTTTGAAATATAGCTCCAAGATTTATTTATTTATTTATTTTACTTTCACAGCCTCAGTTGCAGATCAGGGATTGTAGAAACTGTAATCCAAAACATCTGGAAGACACCATATTGCTTCCTTCTGCTCTTCTTCTTCTGAATGTATTCATAGATGCTGACTGTTAGACATTAAAGACCTATATGGGGGAAAAGGAAGTATATTACCTAGCAAAAATGAAACAAAATCTCTCAGTTCTATAAACCAGGAGACCTGAATTTTTAAAAACTTGCATAGACAATGCAAATTGAACCTTTTGAATATTTTCCTCTTTATTTTGCATAATACCTCTTTGCAGATTTTCTTTTATTTTGCATAATTTGTTCTGCTGTGCTTATCATGGGAAGGGATCACTTTTGGCCATCAAATATTGTGCACCCAAGGTGATAGTTATAGGGGTGTGTTTAAAAAAAAAACCACATCTGATTGTTGAGTTCCTGCAAGTATATCTATATTTATTACTAACTCTTCAGACTTTTAAAGGGTTAAAAATGGATGAAATTGTGCTTTTAGTTTAAAAGAATGCTTAAATAGGGGGGAGGGTAATCTATTTCGACTATCTTATTATGCACTGGATTTATGCATATATGTTAATTTTTAATTTTTGAAGCACGAATAATTTTTGAAGAATGCACACAAAGCCTCTTTAAACCTTGTCTATTTATTTGTCTTGGGTGAACATAATAAATGGGTAAGTGTGTATTTCATTTTTGCTTTTTCAATGAATAACCTGTACTTTTAAAAACAGATCGACCCCCCCATAACTGCAAGAAATACAGTTTTTCCTGATAAAGTGACACAAAGAGAATGTATTTCAATTATGCGCTGATGAAACTGTTAGCTATATTGTATTATGGACGTTAATGAAATTTCTTTGATGTGTTGAATTATGCATTTTGCTGCTCCCTTTTTTTTTTGATATCCTGAGATTGTGGAACAGAAAATAATACCTGTCCAGATTTCATTCTGTAGCTGTGGGAATGCAACATATTAGTGGGAACAATTTGTGGTATGTTGCAGATATTTGAAAGTGATGCTGGGTAGTACAATGGGAGAATTTTTGCTCTTCATAATGTTCTTCGGATTTCAGTTTGCATACCTTGCACTGAACCATATTTTTAGCCTAATATGCTAGTTTACCCAATTTTAAGGCTAGCTTATGGGTAGGTGTAGTTGTATGCATCAGAGACCAAGGTTAACTTAATTGAAGTTAAGCAAGGGTTGAGAACAATTGTTGAGAACAGTGGTTCTGAACAGGCTATTCTTAAATCCACCTACTGATAGTCCTCGACTTATGACCATAATTGAGCCCACCATTTCTGTTGCTAAGCGAAACATTTAAGTGAATTTCCTCCATTTTACAACCTTTCTGGCCCCAGCTGTTAAGTGGATCTGGCTTCCACATTTTTTTTTTTTTTAATTTGATTTATATGCCGCCCTTCTCCGGAGACTCAGGGCGGCTTACAGTGCGTTAAGCAATAGCCTTCATCCTTTTGTATATTTATACAAAGTCAGCTTATTGCCCCCACAATCTGGGTCCTCATTTAACCTACCTTAGAAAGGATGGAAGGCTGAGTCAACCTTGAGCCTTGGAGAGATTCGAACCAGCAGTAAATTGCAGGCAGCTGTGTTAATAACAGGGTGCTTTAAACCACTGTAGTACCAAGGCTCTTGGTACATTGACTTTGCTTGTCAGAAGATGGCAAAAGTTGATCACATGACCCTGGGACACTGCAACCGTCATAAATATGAACCAGTTGCCAAGCATCTGAATTTTGATCACATGACCATGGGGATGCTGCAATGGTCCTAAGCGTGAGAAACAGTCATAGCTCACTTTTTTTCTGTGCCATTGTAATTTTGAATGGTCACTAAATGAATTGTTGTAAGTCAAGGACTACCTGTATTGGAGCCCCGGTGGTGCAGTGGTTACAATGCAGCATTGCAGGCTAACTCTGCTCACTGCCAGGAGTTTAATCCTGATGGGGCTCGAGGTTGACTCAGCCTTCCATTCTTCCGAGGTAGGTAAAATGAGGACCCAGATTGTTGGGGGAAAGATGCTGACTCTGTAAACTGCTTAGAGAGGGCTGTAAAAGCACTGTGAAGCGGTTCTATTATTAATTGCAAGGAACAATTACAGTGGCTACCTGGTGGGAAAAGGGAAGATTGGAATAGTAAGGGTACAATATTTTGTGTTCATGAGGGTTTGCATAATAGCTTTGCAACTGTGTGTGTGTAAGGCATAGTGACACTGACAAAATATTGTCCTATTTTCTGAATTAGGGGAAGCTGAAAAAGATTCAAATGATAATTTCACTTCTCCACTAAAGATATTCAACCTATCAGTTTCTTTAAGGGCGGATCTACTCTAAAGAGTTATATCAAAAAATGCATACAGGTAGTCCTTGACTTACAACAGATCATTTAGAGACCAAAGTTACAACGGCACTGAAAAAAGTGGCTTATGACCATTTTTCACACTTATGACCGTTGCAGCATCCCTGTGGTCATATGATCACAGATGGTTTGCAACTGGCATGTATTTATGATGGTTGCAGTGTCCTGGAGTCACATGATCAGCTTTTGTAAACTTCTGACAAGCAAAGTTAATGGGGAAGCCAATTCACTTAGGAACTGTGTTACTAATTTAACAACTGTAGTGATTCACTTAACAACCATGGCAAGAAAGGTCATAAAATGAGGCAAAACTTACTTAACTGTCTTGTTAGAAACATAAATTTTGGGCTCAATTGTGGTTGTAAGTTGAGGACTATCTGTATTGTACAATAATGTAAGGGTAAAAAGGATAAGGTTATCATTTCCTATAATCTGCAGAAAATTCCAATTTTTCAGAGCAGAGGTGAGCTCAAATTTGCAGTTCTTTGAGAGAAGGTTGGAGATATTGTCTTGTAGATAAGGATTAGACCAGGGATGTCATACTCACGTCGTCATGTGACATGATGGCAGTGTCACATGATGTATTGGGATTCCCCCCCCCCCACTAAACCGGGGTGGGCGTGGCCAGCTGTGACGCATCCGGCCCATGGGCTGGGAGTTGGACAGCCCTGGATTAGACAAAGGGATGTTAAGATACCTTATCCCTTACCGGTTTTGAAAATAAAAGCCTCAAACTGGATATGTTCCTCTTTTGTGTGTTTAGTATGAATAAGAATTGCTCCACTTTTGAGATAGCAAATAGTAAGTGATCTTAGAGAATCCCAAAAGCGAATCAGGGTTGAATCTGTGAGGGCCTTGGTATCTCTGAGCTTGGCTGTTTTCTTGCAGGCTTTTCATTATTGAAAATGAACATCATCAATGCACTTAGATCAGCAGTTACCGTAGTTAGGTACTGAAACATCTGCAAGAAAACAAGCTTTGAGAGAACCAAGGATCCCACAGTTCATCCCTGAGCTACAAATACTCTCTTCTATGGTAGGGGTGAATGTGGGAGGTACCAGTATATCTAAGGGCTGTAGGATAGCCTGACAAACTGGGGAAAACAATCCTAGAAGAAGACATGCCTAACAATTTCATATGGTAATGGAAAAAGGAATTGAGTTTTAATTTATGCATAAAAATGCAATATACTTGACATTATGCACAAGAATTAGTACATGTTAATGTTAGTCATTTCCCCGTGCAGCCTGTGTGCCAGCATAACATTCGGATGTCAGAATTAGATGCAAAAGGGAGTCCAGAATAATTTAGCTACCTCACTATCAACCTAAGACCTGGTGGATAATAGTTGCCCTGTAAGCAAAGAGGCAGACGCTTTTGGGAACAGGGTTTGTATAGTTGAGCTGAGGGTCAGGTTTCTTGCTCCCAACTATATTTCTTGGCTACAAGACAAGTACACCTTGTGACATTTTTTCACTGTTCTCGCAGGCTGTTGCTTTTTGCTCTGTGGATGCTGTCAATACAATGAGTCTTTAAGAATGTAAGGCCAAGCAAATGTCATTCTTCCCTTGGGTTTCCAGGAAGGGATTTCACTCCCTACATCCTGGAGGAATGTGTGGGTGGATTTATACCAACAGTCAGATATAGTTCTTCTGTCTGGCTTGAAAACATGAACAACGCCAGGGTTGTACTGTATATCTCAGCACAGAAAGCTTAAGTCTCTAACCTATGTTGCAGCCTGCAATATCTAATGCACAGAGCTGCAGGCAAAAGCTGAGATTTGATGGCTTCATTCAAGCAAGTGTGTACTTTACAAATTGGTTGAAACAGATTTATTAAAATGCATGTCCCCTATGACTCAGCAAAGCACGTGTTATGCTTCTGGTTCCCTTGATACTTGCTCAAAAGACAGAGCTCATGCAGGATAAATGTGCATTTAATAAGTCTGCATCATATTTCAAGAAACATTGGATCAGCTTTTGAGGGGACCCTGGGTCGTGTGCCCACATTAAATCAGTGACAAGTCAAAATCTCTTCTATGATACCTGAATGGAGCAAACAATTTAAATTGAAAATCAAGCCAGGTTGCATGATTTCTCATCCTTTAAAACCAGGAAGGATAATTTATTTTGTTAATCACAGGCATTTTAGTCCTACTTGTATTATTGGCCATATTAATCTTATCGAGATAAAGCAGATTTACTTGTGTGCACATTGATGACAGTACACAATTCACAGAGGTTCATGACTAATGGCGACAATAATATGACTCTATTCAGCAATTTTTCTGGCCCTTGTTATATCACCAAGCAGTGATACTCAAATACTTCAACATACCTTCACTAATGTAAAGTCTGTAAAGTTGCTTTACTAAAAATAAAAAAAAAAACCTGGATGCAACTTGGCACATACTGTAATAGTATGTGATACTTACCGTAAATAGCTTTT